TCTATGTTTACGCTGTTCAAAATTAGGCTTCCTGCGTTGTTCAAAATATTGTTCCAGCTGGCCCTTCAAGTATGTGCACTTAGCACTGTGTAAATGGTGTTAAACTGAGAAAACCAAAAAGCAGTCATTGCCATTTCTGTGACAGTGTACAAATGTAGTCTCGCTATTTATGTTAATAGCCCAACTATGTGTGTCAAATACTGTGGCCACAGTTGTCATTAAAGAGCCAGTAAACAACAGAGGTCCGAAAACTTTTATGAAGAGAAATGTGCGCACTTTTGCTTTGTGAACATGTTGTCACAAGAATTTTGTGAATACATGTTATATTAAGAAATTGTAGGGGTTAGAACATCGGTTTCAGCTGGTTTCAAATTTTTGTGCAGACTCGCCACCATTCTCCCTCACAGAGAGGGGAAGGTGCAACGACTGGCTTCTAAACTGTCGTCATGACTGGTTTATACCAATCTATGAGCTGCGTGCAACGTCCAGTTGCTGATCGTAGACCCTGCGCCACTGAGCGCGAAAAGAAGATTGGTCAGGCGTAGGGAAGGAGCGTGGGAATTGTTTTTCGAAATTGAGGCCCTGCGAAGCGCTGAAACACGCAAAAAGCGTGATCGCCGCTGTCTACACTACGAATTGCCGAGCTTCTTTGGGGGCTGTAAAAAAAAAAGTTGGAGCTGGTTGATTGGCCCTTTTAAAAAATATATAGCCTGAACAATGTCAAGGCAAGCCCATAGCCAGGGAGGCACCCCTCTGGCTATGCGCTTGCCTTGATATTTATGCATTTGTTTTATACTAGTTTCCTTGATGTGATGACCTCTAGTGCTCTAAACCATTGGCAATGTATTGGCCATGGATAACAAACGTAAACTTCTATATGAAAAAAAATAATATTTGATTTCGTTCGATATTCTACAATATACAGAAGTCTTCCACAATATTTAATCGGGACAAAGATTATTTAAATTGAAATGTCACACATTTACATGTTAGTTCTCATTAATGTGGAAACAAAGAAAAACGAGCCCTTAAATTTACACATTTCTACATTTGTACAATAACACTTTTGAAGTGGTAGTAGAGCAGCTCAACACAAAGCAAAGTGCCTGAAAGGAAACTGTACATCAGAAGACATATATTCCACCATCCTTCACAGAATAAACACGGAAACAATTAGAGGCACTAGGAAACAAAAGGGTGGTGTCAGTAGACCGACTTCACTGACATGTGCGCACAGGAAAATGAAGATCAATTTAAGACTTTTATATATTGACGTTCATTCTATACCAGTGCAGATGAAAATTATAATGCGGACGAAAATGGAAATTCAAGGAATAAATGCATTATAAGACGTGGAAACCAATGTAGGAAACCAATTTTTACAACATTGGTTTCCTACAACTTTCTTCAACAGCAATGGCTGATCTCACAGATATTTGCGGAGAGGCACGACACAACTGTGTATTCACATTGCCCACGGGGTCCAAGATTTCAAGTCACACACACGCGCACACAAAAAGCTTCCGTAGGCAAGACCTGGAAATACAGCCGTTTTTTAACACACTGGCACTGCATAATTGTAGTTCATCAGAGCAATTTTACAGACGTCTATCACATACATAAAATTTCTTTTTCCATTTTTGTCTAGCGGCTATGCTGACTCACTCGTAGGGTACCACAGAACGCCTAACACACTGGATAGCGGGACGCGCCGACAAGACAGGCACAAACAACAAGCCGAATTCCTAGAAGACTTTAAACTTTCCAAGCTCGTGAGTCGTGTCGTCGAGCGTCAGGTTCACGGCCTATTTCAATGCCCCCATTTTTCGAAGAAAATGTAGCTGACGCATGGGGTCAAGTACCGTTATTTTAGAGGGGCTGAGATCGATCAAAATATTCAGACAGGACGTGTCAAAAGAAGCGTAAGAAATCTCAAAACGCACCCCAGCTTTATGTGGCAACATTTCCCAGATTCTCAACGAGCACCCAGGTGCAATTGGTTCACAGTAGACAGTAATTCTGGCCCAAACCTAACGCACGCCAAACCTTAACACACATGCACACACCGAAAGTAGACTGCGCTCGATTCGGGAAATGCCAAATAAGCTGGAACCTGTAGCATAAAGGCGACTTTATTTACGTTGATGATAATCGGCAGTCTACCTCAAACAACAACTCTTTTTTTACAGCCGCATAAGACCAGCGGGGTGCCGTTCATCATGCGGGTCGCCGTCTTTGATAACGCGCTTTCTTGGTGGACGGCGCAACCATTACGGCTGGGATGGCAGCCTATGCTTAGAAACCCGGACAAGCCGCTTTACCAATTCGTCCTGCGACGCATTCGGGTCCAGGAGAGCAAGGAGCGCGTGACGCGATTTTCGTCGCCACTTCCCTCAAGTTAAATAACTTATCTTTCGGAAGAGCCTTCGCAAGCTTGAAAGCGGCGCGCAGTGTTTTCCGTCGAACCCACGAACAAGTTCGGCCACCATGTTGAAAAGCGATGACGCTGGCTCTTCGAAACTACTAAACTCCGCAGCACAGTTTCGGTTTCGTTTATGCTCGTGGGCTCAAATGCTGTACTACCGGACTGATAAGACCAGTACGGGGGTATGAGTACGTGAGATAGGAAACTTTCTTACAGCCCAATAACGCGACATGTACGTAAATAATCTGCCAGGGTTACCTTATACAGGGGAGTTATACACGAGTTGCGATTCTTATTTGAGTTGAGTGTGAAGTTATTTTTTTTTCCTGTACCTTTGTCTTTGAGCACTTTGTTAAATTCAAGGAGGATTAAAGAAAAATTGCTGGAGTGGAAGCTCCTGCAATGTCTTGCCAGCAGAAGTGAAACACCTTTTGCCACTGCCAAGATGGCGGAAACATGCTCTTTTCAGATAGTGCCCACTTAAAGATCAAGTGGCTTTGATACGTTATGTAAATGCTATGTTAGTTCTATATTAAAGGATAGTTGTTCCCGACGAAATAACGCACAGAAAAAAGTATGGATGACTGAATCTTCAAAGAACTTTGCCTCCAATTAGAGGCTCACTACGGAAAACTAGTAACGTTAAGACGCACTTGGAGCACTATGTGGCACGAAAAAGTTCCCACATTAAACTCGTTGGGCGTGCGAGGGAAACGCTTCGTTTTTATTACCCTAAATTGTTACCCACCACTTCTAAACACACAATCGCTAAACGATGATACCTTATCATGCCTCTAGTAAGATGGCCGCTACAACCGCCATTTTGCCAGAAGAACGGCTTCACTTCTGCTACAGTGTACTAGAAACTGTACTTCTGCGCAATCATTTCCACTCCAGCAATTTTTTTAATCCTCCTTGGTTAAATTACTCGCAAAATGCTGCCATAACGTTATTGCCAGCTGTGTAAATTGTGCCTGTTTTTGAGCATGCGCTGCGGTTATACCAAAATGAGCCAACAACTTAATCGAGCAGTTTAATATTCTTGTCGATGTCGTTCTGTGATATTTTATATCTGTCAAATAAGTACAATTCACCAAGTATGGGCTAGACACAGACACTCAAAAGTTGCACAACAAACCCACTCCAGAAAGAAAAAGAAATGTTATGAGACCTTAAGATATTTAAGACAAAATATTGGCACCAAAAATGACAGAGCAATGAATGTAGGAAAGCAATGTTATTAACTGCATGATTAGATTGCCAATGGCCTATTTAGATGGCAAGTTAGGGGTGATCTGCTAGAGTTGGCACATCATGATTTATTGCTACACTGGGATTTTTTTTCTCTTTTATTCATAATTTTTCATGCACTATGCTTATTAGTCAAGGCCAGTCAAAAGCAATCAGTGACGTGTCAAAAAAAAAAAGGAAAATGCATGCATGCAAAGAAAGATATAGGATTCAATCACTGCAGCGCAATTGATGTGAAGACTGCTGAAAGTTGCATTTGACCTGAAATGAATGGATGAAGAGAAAAATAAAACAATTAATAGTTGGGGTGTAAAAGCATTTGCTGGCATCTCTGGAGACAATACCAGCTGGGGAGTATGTTTCCGACAATTAAGCACGTATACTACTGCAATTTAAAAACAAAGTTCTAATGTTAATTGTTTTCTAGGCTAAAAAAATCTTATTATGAAGAACACCTGAAGTGGAAAACTGAAGATCAATGTTTAGTGCCAGGGGTACTTCAACACAGACCTAAATCTAAGCACACAAGTACTTTTGCACTTCAAATGTGGCCACTGCCGCCTGCTCAACTGTTTAGGAATGGCAGACTGGTTAGCTAACAACCAAGGGCGGCCAGAGGGCGTTTATGGCAATTAAAAGTGTGCAAATGGCTGTCTTCATAAAAGAAAGAAGCAAAGGATTACGCCACATGCCCAGCCTTTCTACACACTTCACATTCTTCGAACATAGCAGTCCACGATGTTCAGGCACTGGTCGGACATACTATTACTGCATCACAGTCATCACATCTAGGATAACCCAATTATAACAAAGCTGCATTTTACAAGAAAATAAGCTCAATTACTATGAAAAATTTATTATAAAGGATATTCCTAACACTATCTATAGCTATTAAAAGACTGTTTTTCATTTACGATCATTATAACCAATATTTTATTATATTAGTGTTCGTTATATTGAGGTGCGAGTTATTCCCTACCACCAAGATCTTTCTAAACATTTGCATGATGACACATATAAGAAAACAACAAAATATTTTTTAAAATAAAACATATCGCTCTTCACCGCTGATATGACCAAATACTTCATTCAAATTTTGTTTTGTTTCCCGTTATGGTGGCAAATGTGAATTGTATGTCAATAATGATGTAGACGCCAAATAAATCATATTTTACCTTCTGTATTATTATACCCCTGTCAACCGTATGAAACTTGAGATTTAAGATTATGGTGTGCTGCAGCACACATCTAACCATCAACATCTCATCGTTCACAGGGTATTGCTTTCACATTGCGTTGCAAGATTCAGCGAGAACAGTAAAGATTTTTGAGACAATCTTTTTTATTATTGCAACTGTTCCATGCATATGTTACAGTACATACACAATTAATGATATGTGGAACGTGTCCACATTATACAAACGAAGAAGCGAAGAGTCTGCAATGGCTACACAACCACAGACAAAGATGGTGCCAGAGAAGAATACAGTGTACAATATGCCACAGTGTAGGGGACGGCCACTAATATCAATGCATACAATTTCTGTGATGCTCTGTTTCACATACAGCTACGACTAGGAATTGTAGAAGCACACAACAGTGTCCCTTATGAAATACATAATTAAAGCAAGACACGATACATACTATAAAACATAAAAGAAACAAGTAGCAGATGTCAGATATAACTTAGCTATAATGTGATGCTCATATATATGGGCCTGCACATATTCTGAACGAACACATCTTTAATTCTTAGAGCTCATTCGTTTACAAATAGATGCATCACGCTCATATTCACTTCGAATCCTTGAAACATAAATAATAAACATCTCTCATGTTAAAAAAGCTTTTTTTAATAGTGTGTGCTAACAAGGAATCATGAAATACCAAATAGTTCAAACGTGCATATTGCCAAAAAGAGACACACACCTGCATGCTCATAAATAAATGTATATATGATATCACACAGAGCATTTTACCTTGGTTATTTCTATGAAACCTAAGTTTAAATTGTCACTTCAATGTTATAGCTCGAATTCATAGTGACAATGCATATTTTTATAGACATTGCCTATAAGAAAATATGCTAGATAAGAATAACGCGTTTGATGCTCTAACCACTGAGCTATCACAGCGGCCTGATATGCTAGATAAGAATAAACTAATGCACATAAATAAATATCCCTAACTTTTGTTGAGAAATCTGTGACATCTATTTACTTTCCAATAATTCATGCATAATATTACAATGCAGCTGACTAGAGATGTCATGTATGTATATCTGTGGGAGCGAGTGGGGTGAGGGCCTCATCAGGCAATTCAGCCTTTACTCAAGTTCCTTAAGGCACTGTCTAAGGAAACAGGTAAGTCAAACACAAAACCTTATGTAGCTAACTCCTTTGTTGTGGAGTGACATTCCACTGTTATAGGGTACCAAGACATTTCTTGCTCGATTACTGACACTGCCAAGTTCACTCATAGGCTTCACTGGGCGGTATTTTGAATATGGTACATCCTCATATGTTTGCTCCACTGGCCACGCTGCACAAAGGACTCGGAGCAGACCGAGCAGTGGTACGGCCGTTCACCAGTGTGGAGACGCATGTGGGACTTGAGGTTGTACCTTGCCGTGAACTTCTGAGAGCAAACTTTACACTGATATGGCCTCTCACCCGTGTGACAGCGCAGGTGTGATTTGAGATGGGGGCTTTGTGAAAACGTTTGAGGGCAGAAATGGCACTTAAAGGGACGTTCGCCCGTGTGGGTCCGGAAATGCACTTTAAGATTAAACAGCTTCTCAGTCATGTAGCTGCAGAGATGACAGCAGTGGATGCGCCCCAGCTGCAGCTTGTCGGACTCGGTAATCGCTGTGCGCCCCAACACTGCACAAACAAATTGAAATGTGCAACGGGGTGTCACCTTAGTTTGAAGATGGAGTGAAACTGCAATCATGAAACAACACAGAAATGTGAGTTCATGGGTAATAGCGCTAATAATGGAGGACATGTACAAAGCAAAAAGTACATGACTTGTTCTGCATATGTGCATTCTTCTGGCCCTGCGTTTCACATGCGTAGAGGGATAGATAAGCTACCATTTGGCAAATGAACTTTATCTGCATTGTTCAATGTTTAGTTTTTATTGAGCCTTCGCTAAAGTGCCCTTGCTATTTCAAATGTGCAGGGTGCCAGCAAGGGCTCTGGAACAGAAAGGAGAAAAAGAGAGAGGGGAAAATAATTTCTTGAGTTCCATTATTTAGAGCATTGTTCTGTGATATTTGCCTTAAATGCTGTCAATAGCGAAGTTTTATGCTTCAACAATTTCATAGGTTGTAAAGTGGCACCACTGGTTGTGAAGTGAGATGACTTACTGATTAAAAAGCTTCTTAGTTCCTGAAGCCCCTATATGCCAGTAAGTATAAATCACTAATATGGCACTGGAACTGTTTTATAACATCAAATTTGGCTGAATGACTTAGCTAATCAAGTTTTGACTACTATAATCTTACTGAACAGTTAATATATATGTCTGCATACTTACAAACTGAATATTGCTGTAGCATTGTTCTAGTTCATTCTTAATATTGCAGCCATTTCACTGTTAATAACTTCTATTGACAGATATGACAAGTCAATGAGGCTGACAGGCTAGATCAATGTGAGACCCAGCTTAATACAAGTGGTTCACTAAGCCTGACATGGTGAAGGCACCATGCAGTGCAGTTGCAATACGAAAAAGTACAACATGACAATTGGCATGACATAACATAAAAACGATAAAAAGAAGGAATGTGATGCATCACTCAGTGCAGACGCTAAATATGTCTCAATGAACCACCGGAAGTATATTGTAAAGAAGTGCTTGTGCGTCAAGTCTCATCTAAGCGCGGCACCACTGTGTAGTAGTGTCGTTTCTCGGGAAATCTTAGTCTGAAACTGGCACAAGTGCGATTTGGGAGGAGAAAATTTTAATATAATAAGAAAAGAAGAACTTGCCCTATCTTAAGCTACTTGTAAAATACCAGTTTTCACAGTAGGGCTATAGTTCTTTCACAATTAAATCAAAGTTCAACTTCATCATAATATTTTACAGTAAACCTGCGCCAGTGCCTTCAGAAGATTACTGACTGTAGAACTTAAATACGCGCAGAGATTTTAACACTAGGCTCATGATTTATCAAAAGAACATTCAGTGGCAATATTGCTCGACTTTCAAATGCCATCACTACGAATATGACAACATAATCAAATGCTAACGATGATGACAAAAAAACAGAAACAGTTTACAAACAACTACAGTGCCTAAAATACAATAATTACACTACATAAATAAATAATGAGCAGTAATGGACATTCATTGATGCTCTGTAATGGATGGGTTTCTGCGGAACACTGGACTGTTCGATTGCTTCAGGAGAACAACGAAAACTATAATATTATGAAAATACTTAGAGCGATGACAAAAGAAATGTGAATACTAGAGCTGGTTCTCACATATAAAAAGGGTGGAGATAAAAAGAAAAAAAAACAAAAAAACAGAAAGCCCACAACTTATCATACACCAAAAAACAACACCAGTGGCATTATAATCAGGGAGATGCAGGGAAATTCCCACACATGCTATGTTTAATAAAATGTAGCATCAGTAATTACAAAATTGGCACATGATCAAGACAAATTTGAAGGATGAAACATTTTATGTGTAACACTTACATAAACACTTGAATTCAGAGCAAAAGACCAACGTAGAGCTTCTCAGGCTACCATCAAGGCAAAAAGCTGCATATGCAGCCAAAGTTGATTATAATGAAGCCACATCAGGCATGAAAGTGGCTTCTCTATACACAAAGATTTGTTACGAATGTATAATTGTGACACTCATGTAGAGGCGGTCAAGCAGCGTGTTTTTGCAGCAGGAATAAGGAGTCCAATCCACGTCCTAAAAAACTGCAGTGCACAGCAGCAGCAGTTATTAGGATGAGCAAAGAAGTGTGCTTTTTTGTGACAAGTACTATTTATTTGCTAGACTATTTGTTCATTTTATTGTAATTGAAAATTTGTAATATGTGTATTCAATATAGCTGCATTTGAATGTATATACAGGCTTTCTTCAAGAGGCCCTGCAACACTTTTTGAGCATGATCAGGAAATGCTGCCGATCTGTAGTCAAGGGTCCCTGAGAACACGCGAGCCAAATGTTATGGCACAGCATGTGGCCTCGAATTCACAATAAATTCTCAGTCAGCTAAAAACTGCTTTCTCTTCTCTTGAAAAATGACGAAACAAGCTCAAAAATCACTCGTCCCAGCTGTTGTATCAGCTATTGGCTGATTTCAGCATGGTGCACTCAGTCATTACAGGGTCTGCTTCGGGAGGCCGTGACTTGTTCACATGTGTGCATGTAATTAATCACATTGCAAAACCGCATATTCGAAGAAAAAAAGAAAAAAAAAGTGCTCATTGTCTCAAGGTCTATGTGACATATTTTCTTTCCCCGTGCCACCCCTCCCTGCTTAGCTTAGCCTCCAGCACTTTTGTCGGGATGAGAGAAGAACGACTGCAATTGCAGCGTGCGACAAATCTTTGTAACTACGCTTGTAATGGATGGATTCTAAAACTTTTCATGGCGGTGAATTCGTGAGGCAATAGGCTCCTTTATAGAATCAATTTTATGGCTACTTGAAAAAGTGTTGCAGGGCCCCTTTAAAGGAAACAAAGTTACTGCATTAATGACTCCATGTGTAAACAAGGCATTTTATGGCTGCCTGGTGCATACAGTTCCTCAAAGTACTAGAAAGTCATATAAACTTGACTCCTCATTTTCTGAGTTCCTTGACTCAAAAAACACTTGAACTCTTATTGATGTTGCTCTTTTTCATTACAGGCTGCCCACCATAAAAGACATGTTTGCAGAACTTTTACTCAATAGAAAAAAATTAAAGAAAACGGAAGAAGAGAGGGACCAAGAGCAGCATAATAAAATATCTAAATTGATAGAGAGGAACTCAAAATTGAAGTATTCTATGTTTTCAAGTGCACTTAATGAAATGACAATGAAGGAGCTCAAGCAAAAGAAAGTTTACCAAATGATTAAATGAGTACAAAGAATGAGCATCTAGAGTGAACCTTCACAGTGTTAAGCCAGCAAAAGTGTTGGTATTCATTTAATCGAAAAATGAATTGTGGAGTTAAAAGTGCCATGATCAAGGAGTAAAATAGTGGTGACTGATGAAGTGAGAATTCCTGTGTTCATGTTATCACAGCCCTCAATTTTATACCAATCTTAGTTTTAAGAATGTCATGTCAAGATAAAATGATAGATCAGTGTTTCAAAGCTGCTTTTGTTGCAAGAGCTTTTGTATTTAAAAAAAAATGATAAAAATGTAGAATAAGAGCGATGCCAATGTTCTTTCTTTTAAAATAATTTTTCGATGATGGAAAAAAAAAAAAAGGAAGTATGGGTACGTATGTGCGAGTTTAGCGTGGACTTTCGTGAGGAACATTGAGAATGGTACAAACGGCAGCTTGCCCCCATCAACTCCAATGAGTGCTTTTGTGTGGGACCATTGATCAGTCTCGTAGCCATAGGAGAGAGCAGTAGAAGCATCCCCGGCATGTTTTCTCCACATCAGCAGTTACTGAACTGCTGGTAAACCTATGCTGAAAAGACGAAAACGATACACATTACACAAGCATTGGCTGTCTGTGTTACTGGCAGCCAGTCATTTTATTACGACAATACCTTAAATGACAGAAACTACGGTAGACTCTCAGTAAACGGAAATCTTTTAAACAGAACTGCTGCTTAAATAAAACTGATTTTAATATGCTTGGCTTTATACTTGTAATATGCACCCTTGTTGATCCCTCAGTACATAGAGCTCTTGTGAAATAGAACATTTTTTTTTTATTGTGAGGAACATAATTTTTTGCTCTCTTCAGGTTCAGTTTAATGAGAGTCTACTGCAATAAATTTGCATAGAGCAGAGAAAACCACCTTGACACCAAAGCATTCACCTGTCTCTTCAGGAATGTGGGGCAAGTTGCAAAGATTGAGAATCAAAGCAATATTATTTTCTTTGCCTGACTTAGGTTGCACATCAAAAGTGCAAAGCCACAATTTTCTGATCATAGACGCAGCTAGGGAAGTCAGGACATAAATGGTTTAACAGGCATCAGACAACCTTAAAGAATGCAAGCCATCTGGTGGATATACAAATCAAAAAGTGCACTACAGAAACAGCCACTGGTGATTCCTCACTTCACAAGCTTGGAATGGCCTTATTGAAATGGGAGAAAGGATTTGTTACAACGTGGCTGGTAGCACCAACAAATCTTGTCAAGGTTAATCTTGTCAAGGTCAAAGCATGTACAATTATGTCTAAAAGTGTGATTATGTCTTGAGTGGGCAGTTCGTGTGTTAATGAAAGAGGATGAAGTGAAGTGTTAAAGAAAGACAGATAAAATGCTATGAGCCAGTGAGAATTTCTCATCTCAGGTAGCAGTTATATTAGGTCGTCATCAACATATCTGAATGTCTTTTAGGTACCGGTTGCAAAAAAGTGCAGGACCCTTAAACTTCGCTTCAAGAGTTGAATGCGATAGCAATATCCTGTTCATAGTGCGTGATTCAAACACTTAGTGCATACTTTGGAGTGCATGATGTTACTCGAGAAGTTTAAATTATGGATGACTGCAACATAATCAATAAAGTTGAAAGTGGCTGCTATGCCCCCACGTAGTCTTAAGGGTATACGAACAGTAACATGTGTACCTTTTGTGACCGTGACTGGCTTTAAACTATAAAGTCATTATGATAATCACATATTCTGACATCCGAGCTCAATGTACGCTTCTACTACGCATTACTATACGATATTGCATGTTTTATTGTGAAGCTTACAGGATGCGTATGTTTGAAAAGCGTGAATATCATTTCCACTGCATGTCCAAGCAAAAGAAGTTATTATACATGTATTTCCAATCAGAGGCGTGGCAGGGGTCTTTAAGATGCAGGAAACCAGAGAATACAGAGCATTTTGGACTGCTCTGATGCGATTTTTTGTGGGACGTTTTGCAACGCACTTTAAAAAAAGAGCTACCAATAACACAGTACGGAATCCACTTTCTCCCAACATCAAATGGTGATGGAGTGCCTCATGACATGTTCATGTTACTGGTTTTGCACAGTGTATCAAAAATTTTAATAGCAGTATGCTATGAGCATATTAAAACAATCTTCAAGAGAGAACTTCATTGTATGATATCAATGCACCAGGTATACATTGAAAAAGCCGCAAAAAATTATTGGCTTTTTCTATTTGATAAACTCTCAAACATAAAGTGCTTTTAAATGCCTATGTCTGCCGGGGACTGGTGGGTGTTTTTAAAAACGATTTCATTGTGATGTGTTGTATTATAAAAACGTGTTGTTCATTGGAAGTAAAGCAAAAAAAAAAGAGGCGTGGCTCTGTGGTAGAACAGCTGCTTTCCACGCAAACTGCCTGGGTTTGATTCTCACTCGGACCCATGATTTTTTATTATTCATTTTATTTGCACGTACTTTCAAGATTTGTTGGTCATGCACAAAATGATTATTTTTCACTCACAATCAATGACACTGATGCAGATGCTGGAATTTCTGTGAAATGAGCTCTTTATCGCCTTGATAAGATTGTCCATCTTGCCTAAAGATATGTCACTTAGAACAGGGGTACCTCGTACATGAACCAATACAAATCCCATACTTCTGAAGGTGGAGTGGGCTGTTCCAAGATAAAATGAGAAACGCTTTATGAAGGTAAAAGCATGAATGCCACACCTCCCTTATAAATGAATGCTGCCATGCTATTGAATGCAATCCTCAATTGCAGCTGGGAGCATCAAGTCATGCAGAATATAATAGTGCTATAGAAATTTCAGGCCAATGAAAAATGCAAAGAACCTATGCTCAGAGAATACCTAAAAGAAAAAAAATACTGAGGAGCTAGTTTGTGGAGGATATTATGCAAGCAATGGGTAATCAACTAACATGCACTTAAAGTTTCGGTAGAAAGCCAGAAATGAAGCTCTGCGATGTACAACATTCTAAAACAATTATGCAAAATGGTACCTCTGATTTGTGTGTCATGGCAGTAAACAAAAAAAAAATTTCAGTAAGTCATTCTTGCAGTCAGCAGTGCTGCTGAACATGCATGACATATTGCAATGCCTGTCAGTATTGGTTGCTTCTTACTTCCCTGGGCTATTCATCGTCCCATACACAATTATACATTTCTGTAGGCCAAACTTGTGGCTCCATTTGTACACAGACCGTCTTGTTTTCTGCCTATGCTTATAGTTTTATTCAGTTTTATGGCCTCTCCTCTAAGCATAAGCTCTATACACCTTGATGTAAAGCAAAAGAAGGCGTCATTATCGGAAATGTGAAACATGTAGCGTTGGCCACCCAATACCAAAACAAGTCAGTCTGTTGGGCAGGCATACCTCTGAACAACGTTGCTATCACCGCCACAAATATACTGCATGCAAGCCTTGTCTTCTTTGTATTGATCACATTCATAATTATTGCAGTCACTGACTGTAATCCTCAAATTGCTGTAAGACACCAGCTTGTGCATGGCAAGCATATTTGCATATTGAAATACAATGAGAACAGCTTATTTGGCACAAATCTTGTAGCAAAACTGCTAGCCAGTGTAGTTAGAGCGAATCCATTTTTTAGCCACTTTGTGCGAGATAAACAAGGACGAAGGAAGGAGCATGACAAACGAGCACAATCTGACAGCTGGTTTACTTTTGAAAATACGTCCGCTCAAGTAGTCAACATGATCTGCATGATCTGATGTTTTTTCGACGAGATCGCGCAGATCATGTAGGCTACTTGAGCAGATGAATTTTCAAAAATAAACTGGTTGTTAGATTGCACTCGTTTGTCATACTCCTTGCTTTGTCTTTGTTTGTCTCATCCAATGTGGATAAAAAATGAAAGCTTCTAGATAGAAAAAATTAAAAAAAGTTTGTTATGAAATTGTTTTATTATACTCATGTTTATGTGGCCATTTTTATGATCTTTTTCAATTATAAACATTTCACTCAAAACTATAGTTATTTTGTATGTGTGTGTGTTTATGTGTACACACACACACACACACACACACACACACACACACCACACACACACCACACACACACACACACACACACACACACACACACACACACACATGCACACACAACCTCAGATTTTCTTGATATGTATGGCGCTTTCCTATAACACATGAAATGTGGCAAAACAATTCTACTAACAAAAAATTCACCCTCTCATGTTCTATTTTTCTGTGTTGAGCTTTGAAACCACGCTTGTCTTACCACAGAGATTTTGTTTAGATGTCCTATTTAATAGTTCCAAAACTTTTGTGTTTAACTGTCAGCTACATATTTTTAAAAACAACTGAATTTTCTAATGTTTTTGTTCTTCCTGAAGGTAACTTGAGCTCTGGTTTTTAAAGAAGCGTATTTTTGTACGAGATGCTTAGGTGTGAAATGAGAGAAAATGTTCGATCTGTCTCATATTTGACTGTGTTTTTTGTACTGGTGCAGTGTAAGAAAAAATATTCGCAATGCAGCTTTCGGTAGTCAACTTCATTGGTAAGTAATAAAGAAAGTCTAATTAAATCATTTTGTTTTAAGAAAGAAAATTATTTTTTAATGTAGCCTTCCTAATGCACTCATAATTTTTTTTTTTTTTCCGCTTCACCGCCACTCAAATCCTTCTAAAACCCTGCATCACGACTTCAATACCAAAAAAGTGACTCGCAAACTTGTAGCAAACACAGGTAGTTAGTACCACACAGGCGCACCAATTATTTCATGATGTCACTAAAGCATAGCCTACCTTCACTCTTATACAAATTGAAAAGGGAAAGATTTACTTCGACTACTTTGATGCACAAACAAATCAGAGCAAATCTGAATGAAGGGGTAAATAAAACAGTTCTTACATTTTAAGATTGCTTTTTTTTAAATCTATTTCATGCCCAGTGTTTCAGGGAACAGTGCATCATCACGTTGTGCATCACAGCCATGTTTGTAGTAGCACTTATCTTCGTGCTGTAGCTACCAATGTTTCGGATGCATAAGTACATTTTAACATTTATTGTGAATAAATGCCTTGAACTTCTTTTTTTATTTATAAGTACCGTGTGCTTGTAGGTGTTACACAACATGTTCTATTGCCTCAATTGCAGTGAAATTGTGTATTTGGATATATGCTGAACATGAGTATGTATGCTGGTTATATAGTGTCACTAGCTGCTGCCATTTGAGGGCCTTCAGGCACATTCAAGCTGTATAGTGCAGATTTTATTACGACAATTGTAAACTAGAAACATATCTGATCTTTTTTTTTACTGATTTCTCGTTATACTTCAGCATCCTCCTATACTCTACACAATGCCATAAGGCATAAATATCACATATGCAGACACTCATTTTTGATCCTAATTATTGCATAGAGGGCCCCTAAACAGCAAGTGATCTACGTGGTGGAGTAATCATGCTACATTCTCATGCTAGAGCGTAAGTGAATGCTTCTACGAAGGATTTGGGGTTGACTATGCAGACATGTGGTCGCTCATCAGTACGAACGTACACATCATGCCTGTCTGAGCTGTGACAGGTGGGTCCAACCCACATGTGCTCGGGTCCGTGGTGTTGCAACACACCAAATGCCTGCAGATTTGCAAGCACCCCTGCGGGTAAAGCACTAGCACGTTTCTGCACCAGTGCTCTTCAGACATGACCTGTCAGCAATGGCTGCGTGAGGTCATGATAACGACCAAGACAGAAAAGTGTGAAGGCTAGGAAGAGAGGAGATTGCAAGTGACAGTGAATACGGGGTACTGCATGCAGGAAATTGATGCTCTATTCTTTGCATAAACACGAAGACAGATAGATTATGAAAAATGTGACAGCTTTCAAAGTGCACTTTATTGTCGTAAGTGTTGCAGCGCATGGCTCTTACCTATATACAAAAGTATATAGAGAGAAGTTGCAAATCTACCAAAAAAGGCAAGACATCCATGTGATAACAACAACGATGAGGCATCAGAGCAGACACTACAATGTAGGTAAAAACAGCACTGCAATGTTGATAACACGAAAGAAAGAAAAAAAAATAGACTACACAGGCAAAGCACCTATATGAGTTTCAAGCACCGGCGTGGCTCATTGGTAAAATACCGGGCTGGCACGAAGGGGAGCTGGGTTTGAATCCCACTGTGTCCTTCGTGTTTTTTATTTACTGTTATTTTTTCTTCTTTCGTACGATGTGGTTACAGAGACCGGCGGTGGCAGCGGACAACTAAGGCGCTGCACGTGACCCATGTTGTGATCTCATAGCAGCTTTCACAGTAAAAGAATCAGAGACTCTAGAATAACAAAATGACAGAGTTGTATGACCTCATAAACACACAACACAGGACATCTGACTTAAGTCCTCAACATTCAATGCAATAATATTTCAATGCACATGCCATAAAGACATATTTCACTTGTTATGATGTTGTGCAGCAGAAATAAGTAGTACATTATACACATTTCTGATTTGAATATCAAGCACAGCAATGTTTAGTACTTGAGGTCAGATCACATGCTACAGCACAGGTTATACTACTTCACATTGCTTAAGCTGCCTTTGATAAGTTGTTGTTCACTTTGAACAAGAGAAGGAGAAATAGATTGAGGGGCTCTCTCATATTAGAAAGAAGGATATGAAGTCAATAGATAGCTCAGATAAAAAAAATCTAGGGGAATTATTTGTAGTTTCAAAGGTAAAGTGCACAATGATACCTATCTTTTGATACTGTATGGCAAACAAATGTACTAAAAGGAATTGAAATGTGACAGCTATAAGATTATGAGAGTGAAAAATTTTCACAACCTTTTTGATAGATAAGGGCCCCAATTAGAGGCTACAATACTACAATCGATCAATCAATCAACCTGTTAATTGCATGTAAAATACATAGAATTGTTGGTTATTAATATACAAGTAGGACCCCAGAGCCCATTGAAGGGCCGTTGCAGGGGTCCATTTTTCAACAGTAGTAGTTAACTGAACACTTATTTGATAACAATGTCTCAAAGTAAACAAAGTAGCCAGGTCATAACATTTGCTTGACAAGTTGCATTCATAATAAATATCTCCTGTAACAAGAGCATTTAGAGGCGATAATAAATTATAAAATTCTCAGTTCCGGCAGTGAATTAGCTCTGAAGAATATAAAAAAAGGGGGGAGGAGGGCAATGCCACAGAAGAATATGAAAACTAAAATCAATTTCTTCACTTACAAAAAATGCAATAACAATAGCAGTTAGAACTAAGGATTCAAACTAAGATATAAAAACAAATAATTAATACATTCATTAAACAAGGAAACTTAAGTAGTGTTAAGCAAGAGGCTACTGTGAAAAACAAGTATAAATGCCCAAGCAAAAATATGTTTCACATTAAGAGAAAATATTTAAATGGGCTAAAATGCAACATTGGAACGAGTATATAGTACAATCTCAATAGTTTGAATTTCAAGAAAACCGAAAGCATCCCCACACCTCTGAAATGAAATCCTGGCTGTGCCACTGGTGTGAATCACCACTGCTTATGTACTTTAGAGCTTGAGGGTACTCTTCAGCTACTACACCACAATTAATCAGAGATTTGGTTGCACCTCTTTACAAAACACTTGCGTACTAAATCTATTAGGACCTAAGAAATACCCCATGCAAGTAGTTTTACATATATACAGGTAAACATACATGTACTCTGAGGAGTGAAAAATTAAATTCTGGTTTTTGGATGCCTTAAACACCATTTATTATGAAGTATATACCACAGTGATGGTTCAGTACAGATCATTAAGGGTTCTTTAGCACGCACTTAAATATAAGCAATGTTGTTCTTGTCACACCTACATCAATATGTTGCTTTCATGGCCAGATACTTAATCCGTGTACACAAGCTATGCCGTGCAACACAACGGAGATGAGTGTTCACTAAAATATCACGGTATGAAAACAGGTAGTTCAGACTTTGTGAGGAATGATATCATAGAACAAAATGCTTGTAAACAACTCAATGTTTTACCAACATAGAAGTATGACATGTAACCAGTTCCACTGGTGTACTGACAAGTGAATCCAAAGTAGTGGTCAGTGTTTGCAAAGATAAATGTGTACCTTAAAAGTAAATACATGCCCCAGTCAAAGAACAGACACTAAGATTACAACAAATATCTGTTCCACACAAAAACAACTATTTCTGAAGGGATAATTTATGATGACCTACTAATGAGCAAGATTTCAGCTGGTGACAAAATCACCCTAGCAAATCACCTTAGGCTGAAGAATTCTACAATTTGAGTGTTAGTTCAGAACATGAACATGTGGTGAACGTTTCAGATGTAGGGGGATCACGTGCAGAACTATGGGTAAAAATTAAAAATTAAAATATGGGTGCAATAATACTTATGTAGCAGATACCTCAGCGTGGTGAGATTTCATGTGTCTTTTCAGGTTACTTTTCCTCCCAAAAGACTTGGAACAGACAATGCAGCTATGAGGTCGCTCACCTGTGTGAAGGAGTAGGTGAGACCTCAGGTGATATTGTTGCGAGAAGCGTAGCAAGCATAAAGAGCATTGAAATGGACGTTCACCAGTGTGGGTGCGTAGGTGTTTGTTGAGAGCAGATTTCCATGGGAAACGCTGAGGGCATAAATGGCACTGAAATGGTCGCTTGATTAAACGAAGCTCACGGCGTACTTTCCAATCACATACTCTTTCAGTATTGAAGTCACAGATGGAAGGGTTCTGCAGTTGTATTTGCTGCGACTTGCCATCGTCGGGAGTCGCTGGACCACAGTCATGCTTTTCAGCTGCGCAGAAAGAGACAAGATGGGTCACCTGAACATCACTTCTATTTTAAAACACGAATGCAGTTACAATATTTTGAATGAAAGTAGAGGGAGTAGATGCTGACATTAAATATGATCAGCTTTTCTTTTTTTTATACAAATGCTAAGGGTTATACAGGTCCATTAATACTTCCATCTCCATATTTTGTGATTGCACAATGCTTGGACTAATAAAACCTGCCCACTCAAGTGTAAAAAATTGGTTTATAGCTGAAAAGTAAAGTGATAGGTATACCCTACCAAATTAATAGAATTATGTGCATAATAGGTCACTGTAGAAAAGCATGATAGCCAATAGCTTCTTCAAATTTCAAATATACATCACATTTTCATATAGAAGAATATACTGGTAATGTAGTTAGGCTTTTTTTTTGGAGCTGCATGTAGTATGCATTATAATTTCTAATTGTATCCCATACACGAAGCAATCAACATTGCAAGTTACCTGTTCTGAACATATCTACATGATTATTAAGCATATTACATTATTCAACAAAGCCTATACACAAGCAAAGATAATAATGTAAGAGAAGAATTCACTAATAAAATAACAGAAGTGTACAGTCTCGAACGTTTGAAGTAGAATGACAATGTAAGGACAACAGTGCACAAGCGAAGCTCCATCAATCAAATACTAGTCGTCAGTATCACTGACCCACACACGTGAGGTTTCCCATAGTATTCAACACATAAGTGCAGTTTTTTTTTTTTCAAGAGCAGTAGCTTCCTTTGTATTTTTTACTCGTTTTGATGGTTGGTGGCTAAACAAAGCAACTAACTTTGAATAATGCACGTAGATCTAAACATTTCATTAAAAAGGTAAATTTGTAATGAACATTGATTTTTACTAGTGCAATATATAATATAAGCTTCCAAGTGTCATCACTCAAATGCTCGAGCACCATTGCTGAGAATAAAAGACTAATAATATTCAAAGACAATAACTTTATTGAAATCAATTTTTAGCTTAATTTGAACCAAGTACAAGGTGTGTCAGCCCTACAGATGTTGATAAACTAAAATTTATAATATTAACAACGAATTTATTAAGTACGAACATTTATATGATAACTAAACAATAAATTGCTGAAAACTAAAGGTGTCATAAAAAAGAAGAGGTAACATCTTATTGTGACAAAAAACAAAACAAAAAAAACTGATGACTTTCAAAGATGCAAAAACGTTTCCAAGCATCACGCCACCAATGAAAGGTGACCACAGATCTGTTACCTAGTGTGTGTAGCATTACTTGTATACTGGGGACACATATGTTGGTATGAAAAAAGAACATATGTACAGAAGAGTCTGAATTATTTGAGCTTTAAGAAACTGAAAATCAACTGTGGTAATGTATAACTTGAACTAAACATAACCTCCTTTGGATACAGCAGCTAACAATTTTTCTAGTACTTCAAGCAACCACGCACATTGCGCCACATATTTTTCGACAGAGCCTATGTAACATGTGTAACTCGAATGCTTCTGAAGTACACTGAAATTAAAGACAATAAAATGACACTTCTTTTTGGAAGGTGGGCAGTAGGAAGATCTTTTTTTTTTAAATATAAGTGTTGGGTATATTTTAAAACTTAAATAGGTGGAAGATTTTTCCCTTTCAAATACACACAACTCTGCCATGAGAGTGGTCTGCAGTAAAGGTGTCTATGTCCTTGAAAAAAAAATTATTCAAGCTCAGCAATAAACAACTTCTCAGACCAAAAGTTAGGTGTAATGCAACTAGTACGCACATTATTGTCAAAGTCAACAAAGCCATTGTATTAATGATTCAACTTGAACATAAACTGTTTTGCCATAGCTTAATACACCAAAGAGCATTGTAAACATCAGTCTCAAGAATCCTAACAAAACATGCAAAAGCTCTTTTTGCCCTCATTTCTTTTCAGAAAGGTTCCATACAGCCTACCTTGAGCAAGTACGACAATATTTAGAGATAAATTCAGATAATTTCATGGTAAAAAAAATACATTTGCAAAAGCATTTGCAAATAAAAGTAAATGCAAGAAAAATTATGCATCATTTATTAAAATGAGAAAATGCCACATTACAATTTCATGAAAAAGAAATCACATTCATGTTGTCATATCTATATAGGCTCTCAGCCAACAATCAATGGCATAATAGAGATTATTATCTTGCGTTCACAGCAACAGCAGCAACAGATAATACTGAAGACAATACGATAAAACAAAAAAAATGATTTCAAAATTACAAATTCATTCACATGTACCTAAATTGGTGGCCACATGTCACTTCCAAATTCTTGTTTAGAAAGGGATGTACAAAGGTAAGAAGGAAAAGATGCTGAAATGCCAGCGTAAAATATATGTTCTTGTATGATTGAAACATTGGCATATCAATGGAAAAAAGGTTCGGGGAGTTTGAACACCCATAGAAGATTTTCTATTTTACGAGAGCATACATACGCTAGCACAGTGATTCTCAGCCACGATTGTGTCGGGGACCCCTTGTAGACTGGTGGAAGCGATGGGGGACCCCTTGCAGAGCAAGGGAGGGGAGAGGAGGTACGTAGGTAAATAGTACAACTGGAGCATGAAACAGGTGCCTTTCATTGCTACCAAAAACATCAAACAAATGTGCAACATCACTTCATTTTAGACAGTTCATCAATACATAGCACAGTCACGCTTAAACAGAGTTGCATATCTGCAGGCAGATTCAACCTGTTTCGGTATTTCCTTTGAGTCACGACCGAACTTTACTCCAAGAGACTTAAAAAAAAAAGAAGTTGAGGGTTTTGCGGATCATAGAAGTGGCTTCGCATACCCCCATTTGAGAACCACTGCACTAGCACATAAAAATGAATGAACGAAAAAGCAAAGATAATTCCTTATCCATGACCCCCCACCCTTCCCACAACCATGTTTATGTACATTACAGCTTAAGGAATTTTAACTCGAGCACCATGGTGTATAACATTCTGTAGGCACTTAATCACAAAAAACTTACCTACTATCTACGAAGTGTATTAAGATGTCACCAAGTTGATTGAGCACAGCAAAGCACATACACACTAAGACAGGTGAGTGAAAAATTAAGTTGAATTCCGGGATTTACAAGCCATATACCCACCACATGACTTTGATGCACGCCTCAACTAGGGTTCTACCACCTGGCATTTTCTGTGTGATACGAGTATGCATCTGTTTTTATTTTTACCCTCATCAAGACTCTAGTGCCACAGTTGCAAAACAATGCTCACTGCTTACAACAGTTGCAGTAGGTCATCCCACCACCAGCTTAAAAAGCATTACAAGGTATCAATATCTTAGTTGTATCTCAGAAATAAAAAAGGATTGGTTAAACACAGTGCATTAACAACATAGGAATACCACATACACCTAATTTTGCTTGTGTACAGGTTGTTGGAGGTCAACCGTGACAGTTGCACAAGGGGAGTTTTCAGTTGCAGCTGCACGAAAATTGCGGGCGGCACTAGACTCCTGTGGAAATGCGGTTGTTTTTTAGAAGAGAAATGAGCCAATCAGTTTTCACACTGGTGGAAGTATCTATAGTGTTTGGAAAATTTATAGACAGCCCAGCGAAACAACAAATATTAAGAATTTAACATGAATATTTTATTGAACACAGTATTTCTTGATACAATACAAAGAGATAATACTCAAAAAGACCCCAGTAAGGCAGTGAAATCTCCTTATAGTAAGAATATCTCAAAAATTTATAAGATATTATTCCTAAATTTCATGTCATGCGTCAATTCAACATGACGCCAGTTCCAGGGGAGATAAAACTTTATTTCATCAAGGGACCTGGGAACGTGTGTCTCAGGGTCTCCGCATGACCCCACTGCACTATGCGCCTCAACAACATGCATGCATACTGGGTGGACATGAATCGAAATATGAATGCAATTATTCACAGATGGCCTGGCTGGTTATTAACTCAGCATGGTAATTATATGTGCCTTCTCAAGAAACTGCCCCACAAAAAAGACAGCTGTACGGTCCCATCCCAATGTGGTGGCGTAGGTTACACGATAGGATGGATTTTTTATAGAAGCTTCACGAGAATAAAGAGCACTGATATGGACGTTCACCAGTGTGAGTGCACAGGTGTTCCTTAAGATTTCTATTTCATGGGAAGCTAAATTTATGGGCACAAATAACACTTAAATGGCCGCTCACCTATGTGGACAGATTGGTACTCCACAAAGTTGTGCTACGTCGAGAAGATCTCATGACAAAACGGACATTGACATGGTTGCTCAGCTGTGTGAGCGCACAAGTGCCTCATGAGATTGCAATCCATGGGAAGCTTTAAGGGCCCGAGTGGCACAGACACAGTCGCTTGCATGGGAGAACCTCTAGTTGATATACTTCAATATCACATAGCCTTCCAGTCTCAGAGACAGTGAGGGAAGAGCTGCTTGGCTTTCGCAGCTGCACACTGGCATTCTCAAGAGTTCCTGGACAGATCAAATGCCTTCCTGCTGAACAGAAAGAAAGAAAAGGGGTCATGGAATATCACATGTTATATAGTAAAACAAAAATACTAGTACAACGGGTGAAATAAACCTAGAGGGAATACGTTATTATGCTGAAAATCATCATATTTTCTTTAATTCAGGGCTGGAACTTGTTCCCCAATTGTGTATCTTTCACTTCTTATGCTCACTTACATATGATTACAAAAGGCTTCAATGTGCGAAACGTGCTTGTATTTATATGTAAAGGAGAAATTAGGGGCTTTTTAATGTGCACCTATATATGAATAAATGGGCACCCTTACATACTGCCTTTATCTGAATGTAACCGTCTCCACGGCCAGATCTAAAACCTGTATTCAAGCATAGCAGCACAACACAAATTGGATAAGTGTTCACACAGGTAGCAGAATATCTGAAAAAAGGCAGGAAGATATTTTCGGATCCTGAATTGAATACTGATGATGTGATTACAATCAAGAGCCCATGTTGTGTCCATCGTAAGGCAAAGAGTCCCCAATAATCTGCAATGCACTCGCTCCTGTGCGATTGGATACCATGTTTGTACGCATCTCCCTTTATTTGTTAGCCCCTCCCATGCTTCACTATCCTTGGCCATGTGTACATCGGTAAAAAAGTGCAAAATGAGAAGTAAAAATAGACTCCATTGCTTTTTGAAACAAATTAACTGAATTACATGTCAACAAGTTGAAGCAAATAGAACATAGTTTCTGTAGTGCACCAATGGCAAATTATCATGCAGAAAGGTTGACTGCAGAACAAGTTCACAAGGTGCTCAACTTCAGGTGCTGTAATGCCACATCTGAAAACAAAAAAGATTCTTCTCATATGCAATGTGAATCTTGCATATTGTCATTTGTTTGTCTAAGCATCTAAACGTTGTTTAGGCAACATTTCAAGAAAATTGTTTTATTGTACCTGGTTACAGAACAAGTACCACATAATTGTCCATGAGATCAGCGGAATAAAGCTTGGTGAAAAAGAAGCTGCCCTTGTTGCCGGGGCATGCCTGAGAGGCTGAAATTGTGCACAAAAGTTATGCTTGCAACATGAAAATTTCCCCCTGATTACAGTGAAACATCACGAACTGCTAGCACTGCAGCATTATATGCAATGAATTGTAGTATGCAGTAATGGAGAATTAATATAACAGGTAGATATAAGTCATTTTTTGCTTTAAAAATTAGTGTGCCTAACATTCGTAAGTCAATACTTGTACCCATACCATCCTAGCTCTTCTTTTCTTCTAGGCATATCACTAAACAAAAACAAAGATGTTGCTAAATTTTTGGGTACTGTTGACAGCATCAGTGAACATTCAAATAAACTTTTTTGGGATGCCTATATGCCTACATGATCGAATGTTCATATCGTCACAAAGGGTACACTGATGAAACAGGACAGCCTGTTAAGTTAAACGGGCATCCCGCGTACATGGCAAAGAAATTCTCGAAACAGTAGCACAGCATTTTAATGTAGAAAGTCGCAACTTTGATGACCTCAAACTTCACATCCTCCAATTAAACTTTCAGTACCCAAGACAGAAAATATACAGTCATATCTTATTCACAAGAATACATTTTAGCCGGCAGGTATGAATGTTTCAAAAAGGGCTCTTCTGAAACATTCTGGGTCCATACCATATGGTACATATCCAACGAGAACCAGTAAGTGTTCAGCCTTCCTTTTAGAAATTTCTAACTTACCATTTTGTTAACTTACCATTGTTAAGAGATAAATTCTTCTGACAACCATAACTCAACAACACGCGTACACCTCCCCTCACCCACCCCCACCCATCCCACTTTTTTTTCCCTCTTTTTTTTTTTCTTTTCGTTTGCACAGAATACCTTCTTTCTTCTTACTCACCCAATTTGCCATAGCAGCCTTTCATTGTCTCCCCCTCCCGCCCTTTCACTGTTGCCCTCTCCTTCGTTTGGATTGGAGGAGAAGGTACAAAGCATACATACATAAGTGCTAAAAAAGTCAGTTGCAATTTTGAAAAAGACAAGTTTGCTTATCGAAACGTCAGCTTCCGCACCTACAGCTACAGCATCCTTATTTTTGAATTTCTCATTGCAAGCTTCCATCTTTTCCTGCTTGCTTTTCCTTTGGGTTTTTATTATAGAGTCAGCCGTACTGCATTTTGTACAAAACTCCCAGGCTTGAAAACATGGGCAATAAGTTACCGGTTATATCCTTTCAAAGCAAACAAAAGTAATAATTTTGACAGCTCTCACAACGAGGTACATTGAAAGGCCTGTCGAACATTGTAGTGTCTTATGAAATGTTATTCTCTACAATAATACGTGGTACAGTGATGTTAAATTAGGTGCAATTATAGACCCAGGGTGCATGTACCAAAGTGCCCATCACGTTTCAAGCTGTATTAAAGAACATGCAGTGCATGACAAGCGTTTACATTTGATGCGTAAAGTTGTACGCGCCGCCACTGAGGAGGGCATGGGAAGTGCCAACTCACAAAAATGATGAGGTTAATAATGCGGAAATCACAAGGTGAAAGCAATCATTTTTATTATATCAGTTGCATTGAATGATAGAACAAATATCCGTCAAAAGACTGCCAAGTACTGCAAGCGTGTGTGTTGAGTGTGACCTGTTAGAGAGACTGCAAAAGAACTAATGGCGCTTGCGTGAGTGGACTCTGATGGGTAAGTTTAAGTTAGAAAGATTATCAGTCTCATATACATGTTCAATCGAATGCTTTTAAGCACTGAAGTGTGCTTTTGCACTGCAGTTTACAATTAGTTTATGAATGATTGCGTCATTGGAACACAATAGTACTTGGATTTCTTCAGAGCACCATTACGTGCCTAACAGCACTTGGTTAGACCTCCACACTAAACTTATCATATATTTTGATGGTCCCATCACACACCAGAGCAATTAGGAAAACTATAGATAGTGCAGTTAATTCACCCGAGTAAAGGTGAAAAGGTGACAGGAGATAAGCATGTGAGGCTGGCAGTGCTGAAAGCTAGAAAACAGAGTTTATTCATGGCATTTCGTTCAGCTTGTTCCCGAGGCATCTACTACAAGCTCTACATATCTGCAAAAGAATAACTAAATAAAAAGTTTTGCTATGCTCAAGATCACTACTGTATTGTGTGACAAGTATTTCATTTCTGTGCACATGAACACATAGTTGTGTCACAAGGATCGTTTGTTAGTCAGTGTTCACGAACTATATGAACAAGTCTAAATGAGATGCCTAACATTTGCTGTATGTTTTGCATTATTGAGGAGATAACTAGTGCACATGCAATCTTTTCGATGGCACTGCTACCTTTGCAAAGCAAACATATGAAGCGATAGCAAACAAAGAATATGATGCATAAAAATTGTCTTGTAACAAGTGTGCCTTCAATCAAAACTTATCATGAAACGGCCTGCAAAGTAAACTGAAAGTTCAGCATTATAAATGTGCCTTCAACCAAAAGTTATCATGGAACGTCCCGTAAAGTAAACTACTGGAAGTTCAGCATTACAAAGCTTATGGCAACACTTGTGCCACATATTGTGATCTTTTGTAAAAAATCAGAATCAGAATTTATTATGTGTTAAAGGTTTACTGATGTTCCAAGTACACAGTAAACGAAATTTATTATAGTGTAAAAAAGCAGCAGTGTAAACTGCCCCAAAATAAAACATTTCGAAAGGTGTCATACAAAAGACAGAGTATTCTTTATTCAATTATATGCTCGCATAGCCCAAATGTGCTATTGATGCAATAGAGTGGGTACAAAAAGAAGTAGAGAATTAAAAAAAAACCAGAACAAGTAAAACGGCTAAGTAAGAATAAACGGTTAACATCATGTATCATCTAGGCATTACACTGTGGCATCAGAGAAAAAAAAACTGCATGCACATTGAAGAAAAGACAAAAATTTCATACCACTGCATGAACAGCATTCAAAAAGAAGAATAACAACAGATACAATAAACTTGTGCGGTCGAACCTTGCGACACATACACTGCTACAATGAGGTTTCTGGAAATTTGAAAAAATTTATTTCCTGTCAGCTGCTTATAAAGAATACAGTCAAACCCAACCTTATCAAATGTTCGTGAATCAAATTATCCCTTATGTCAATGCGAAGCATTTCTTAGCAAACTTTGACGACTTTCAGCGTATCTATCTAGCCACCTACGACTTTTAGCTCTCCTGGCCGTTTTCATAATGATATCAATACCAATCTTGGTATGGCATAACATGACTGTATGAAGAACATGTTTAACTTGTCATAACATGAAAATCATGACATGTATGTCATGAATGTCATGACTTACATTTCATAGTCCTGCAGCTGTTGCGGTGGTTTCGTTCGCATGGCATGTTGCAAAACTAATATGGTGTGACATGATTGCATTGCAAACACAAGCAACAGACCCTAACATGAAAATCATGACTTGCGTGTCATGCAACAACATGACTACATGCCGCACTCATGATATGCTCGCGGCCGTTTTGCTAGCGTCACATATACCAAATTTGATATTACAGTACATGAATGGATGATGAAGGTATGTGACTGGTGTAAACATGATAATCATGACATGCGTGTCATGTAACAACATGACTACATGATGCGCTTGCAGCCGTTTTGCTAGCTTCACATGTACCGAACTCGGTATTACATGACGTGAACGAATGATATAGGTAAATGACACAACTAAACATGATAATCACGACATGCCTGTCATGTAACAACATGACTTCATGCCACACTCATGATGCGCTCGCGGCCGTTTCACTAGCTTCACATATGCAAATTTGGTATTACATAACGTCAATGGATGACGAAGGTATGTGACTGGTGCAAACATAATAATCATGAGATGCGTGTCATGTGAGAACATGACTGCATGCCAGAGTCAAGGCCACAATATATTTTGATGTGACGTGGTGCACGTGCTTGCCGGTGTTCATGTCATTGCGTCACGCTGGCGTTGCCACGCCAGGCGCCGGTCCTGCCATATACTTGCAGGCACACGCCGCGCTGCGTTGCTTTGACGCATGTGCATTTCAGCCCATACGCGTCCCTCCGTCACGAAAAGAGGGAGACGCAGTGTTGTCTGGGTAACGCATTGGCACGAAATGCAGCATGTCGCATTTTGTGCTGGTTGCCGTCGGGCCGCGTCGGTGGACGCTGCCCGACGGCAACCGACCGGTCGCGCTTAGCGTCAGACTATAACGTGCTTGCGTTTTGGTAACGCAGCGTCGCTGTGCACAGTGTGTGCGCGCATCAACGCTACATTGCAGTATATTGGGCCCTTCATGATGCGCTCGCGGCCATTTTGCTGGCTCCACAAATACCAAATTTGGTGTTACGCAACGTCAATGGATGATGAAATATGACTGGTGCAAACATAATAATTTGATTTGATTTATTTGTGGGGTTTAACGTCCCAAAACCACCATATGATTATGAGAGACGCCGTAGTGGAGGGCTCCGGAAATTTCGACCACCTGGGGTTCTTTAACATGCACCCAAATTTGAACACACGGGCCTACAACACTTCCTTCTCCATTGGAAATGCAGCCGCCGCAGCCGGGATTTGAACCCGCGACCTGCGGGTCAGCAGCCGAGTACCTTAGCCACTAGACCACCACGGCAGGGCGCAAACATAATAATGCTGACACGCGTGTCATATAAGAACATGACAACATACCACGCTCATAGCGTGCTCACAGGCGTTTCGCTAGCTCCACATATACTAAATTTGGTATCGCGTGACGTGAACAGATGACGAAGGTAAACGACATATCCAAACATGATAATCATGACACGGAAGTCATGTACGGCATCATTTACCTCCACGTCGTAACGTTGTCCTTATTTTAAAGTGAGGTATCAACCTTTCTCATTCGTGCTTCGCATATCATCGATTCCCACTGTACGTGGGATCTGCGAAAATTTTTTTTAACACGACAATGCTTTGATGTCAATGAATACAAAAATGAATGGCTACATCAAACAAAAGTGGCCAGAACACTCTATATATCGACCATCAAGCAGTGTAATATGGGCGAGGACAAGAGTAAGGAAGAGACAGAAGCTTCTGCCCTTATTCGTTTTGTGCTGAAACCACTCAACATGCATAACCACGTTCAACCCACCTAAATGTCAGTTCTTCTGCATTAAGGAGAGTGAGCTGTGTGATATTAGGAGAATGCCACACAGTGAGTGGAAACCATTGCTTGACATTGTGTGCTTTCTGCCGTCGTGTACAGTCACCGCTTGCTTCCCTCCTCTCTCTGCTATTATAATGGCTGCCATAAAAGAGAAGAGCACGGCAGCTTTCTGCAAAGCACGTGATGATAAGCACAGTTGAATCCAGGGAAGAGGGCTGGCATCTATGCTGCATACAGCATTCCAGGAAGCAAGCTCATAAGATATTGAGAAACAACGACATTAGGGCCAACACAGTCCAAGCTTCAACGCCCAATGAGCATGCCCGATTGCATCTGAAGATGTTGAGTTGCTGTTTACGACACCATATTTTCTTGCATACAGCCCACCCCTGCATATAAGCATAGAACTAGCAACACCAACTACAAATCGCAGAAAAATGAAAACGAAAAATTCGACAGATCCAATGTACCTTGTCAGCACCAGTCACATACCTTCGTCATCCATTGACGTTACGTAATACCAAATTTGCATATGTGAAGCTAGTGAAACGGCCGCGAGCGCATCATGAGTGTGGCATGTAGTCATGTTGTTACATGACAGGCATGTCATGATTATCATGTTTAGTTGTGCTTTGCATATAAGCATATAACTAGCAACCCCGACTACAAATCGCAGAAAAATGAAAACTAAAAATTCGACAGATCCAATGTACCTTGATTATTGATGTTATGTGCAGCTTGCGGATGAAAGGTGACTGTGTTGAGAATTTTTGAACTGGCACTAATTATACGTACAAATGCATGCACAGACAAATGTTAAACAACCACTATATGTATTATATAACCAGTTTACAGTTGCATAATGATGCCAGCAGTTACATGAATATTATGAACACCAGAAGCGGCAAGCTAATATGAAGCATTGCTGCGCATGAAGATGGCAGCCCTGGACAGTACGACACTTCAGCGCATCGCGCCTAACTTGACCCGACGTGACGGCTGTATCCCAGAAGTAGACTTGTAATGTTCATAAAATTTGATAGCCAGCACTGCAATGCCAATCGACGTTTCATGAACATGAGGACATATTTGAAAAGTAGTTCTGAATCTTGGCCTGGCTCTGTTGTAGTATACTTGATTGCTACGCGAAATGCTGGTGTTCAATTCCTTCTGGGACCCTGACATTTATTATCTGCATTCATCGTATCAACGGTGCCAATGTCAGCTTTTTCCCAAGACTCGCATGTCAAAATTGCCGGTGTCTGGTCTCTCCATTCCTGGGTATATATAACCTGTAAATCTCCTGTGGCACATACCTGCCTACCTGTGGCAGATAACTGCACGCGGGTATGTGCTACTAGAGCTGCACATCCGGTAGAAACGGTTTGATGCTGCATGCACAAGAGAGCACCCCGCCAGCCAGCCAGACAATAAACACTCAAAGAGGCTGCAGTATGCAAGGAAATGCTTTGCATTTAGTAAACTTCTCCGCTTGTTGCAGTCAGCCCCTTCCTCGCGTTATATTGAAGCAATGTGGTGAAGACAACTTTGCACATCAAATTCGCTTAAAAAAAGTGGCAAAATCTTCAAAGATTTATATGATACGATACTATATCCAAGTCTGAAAGAATTAGAAAATGCCTTTACAAAAATAACTTTCCTGGAGGTACTTCTACTCTAGAAAAGATTTGACAAAACAGACAGATAAGAAAGGCATGCTCACTCAAGAGTGTTCTTAAAGAGACGGCTTGAGAATGTCGCATGGATTTACGACTTCTTTTTGAGCTCAACAATGATACAAAATGCATATTGTAATCTGAGATGTCTTTTCCACAACAATGCACAGTTCGCATTATTTTTTCCTGAGTGGCCAGGTGAGTAAAATAATTGCAGTTCATTCTAAGCAGCTACCTTTATGTTTGTGTGAAGGTGCTCAGTTCACTTATAGTGAGGAAAGTGTTAAGGCAGTGGTATCTTCTTGCAAAGAAAAGTTCAAAGAGCTCATCAATTAAGGTGTGAAAATGCTCTGATATCACATGTACATTCGACAAGTGAAAGCACACGGTCACAGCAAGACACTTCCAAACAACATGCAGCATACATACACAAAACTGAAATGTGGATACAATAACACTGAACAGATAACATGGCTGGTGACCTAATGTGCATTGTGGGATCGCATGTGAAATGTCAAGCTTTTTTTCTGCACAAAACGCTTGGAGCAGACAGTGCATCTGTATGGTTGCTCGCCTGTATGGAGGCGCCGGTGATTCGATAGGGTGGATGGTTGAGAGAAGCTTTTTGAGCAGTAAGAGCACTGAAATGGACGTTCACCAGTGTGAGTGCGCAGGTGTTCCTTAAGATTGCTCTTCCACGTGAAACATTGTGGGCACATATGACAGCTGAATGGTCGCTCACCTGTGTGGATACGTTGGTGTTCTGTGAGATTAAATTTTTTCGAGAAGGTCTTATCACACCAAGAACACTGATATGGCTGCTTGCCTCCGTGGGTGCGCAGGTGTTGCTTAAGATGGCCACTCCTTAGGAAAATTTGGGGGCACAGGTGGCACTGAAATGGTTGCTTGCCTGTGTGGACCTTATGATGTACTTCCTTATCAGTTTGTCTTCCAGTCTTATAGTCACAGAGGGATGAATGGCTCGGCTGTGCGTGTGGATCCTCGGGAGTTGCTGGACAATAAAAAAAGGTGGGTCATCTAATATGACTTGTTATATTTAGAACACAAATACAGCTACAGAGGGTATATTCTGGTACTAATGGCGATATGAATTTCTTCTTATTTTATTTTTTTGGAAAGTTCTGAAACTTTTTCCAATCTTGTGAACCCTTGTCATTTTTGTAGTTAATGTATATGTGATTACACAATGCTTAGATGTGCGTGACACAATACATATATAAAGAAAAAATTTGGTTATATTCAAGGTACACTAACTCAACACATGGGTGTTCTTGCATCTTGTCTTCATCTGAATTTATCCCCTTCCCTAGCCAGGAATCAAGCCTGTATCCTCAAGAATAGCAGCAACTCAACTAGGAGGAGTAGATCAGAATATATATATATATATATATATATATATATATATATATATATATATATATATATTCTCTAGAAAGTGAATAAAAATTCAAACATTTAGAATTCTACAAAATCATCACTACTATACTTTTTCTTTGTTTAAGATATAGTTCACAGGGTGCGACACCTTTGCATTGTATTAAGAAGTACTAGAACAAGATCAAAGTAAGTCGATAGAATCTCCAAGCAAGCAAAAAAAAATGACTGCAATTTTTCAAAAACGAAAAAAAATTCTCAGACATTACAAATCTGTTGACATAAAAGCTTTCATGGCAACACATTTGAATGCACCGAACTTACATGCAGCATACCACATAAATATTAAATTCAATATATAGATACGATATAATAATTCACACATACATAGATAGAGACCTACTCAGTCATCTGATTTGATGAAACTTCTGAAGTCAGCACCCAGCACAAAAGGCTTGACAGGCTGATAGAGTTGATTGGGTGTATTTTATTCAAAAGTTTACAGAAGACAAGATACACTGAAATGAACATTCCCATTGGCGAGCTTGATCAACAGGCTGTGGCGGCTGCATTTCCGATGGAGGCGGAAATGGTGTAGGCTTGTGTACTCAGATTTAGGTGCACGTTAAAGAACGCCAGGTGGTCGAAATTTCCGGAGCCCTCCACTACGGCGTCTCTCATAATCATATGGTGGTTTTGGGACGTGAAACCACACAAATCAATCAAAGCTTGATCAACACACAACGAAGTGACATGAAAGCTGGCGATGCCTCAAGACTATACTGTTCGCTTGTTTGGTACGCTATGATGCCAACCAGTCACGTATGTCTCGGCATGAACAATTAAGTTGCCGTAATCCTATCCCTGACCTTCTGGGGAGAGACCCAAAAACTCTCCCGATAACTTGTCCAAATTTCTGACCCAACGTGAGTGTCATTGACTGCAGGAACTCTGCATCAGCGAGAGCAACGACCGACCCATCAGGACAGTGTGTTATTGCCTAATGCAATGGCGGGTGGTGCCATGTGTGTCATTGGTTTAAATCAAGGAGGAGGAGCCAGCCTGACATGTTAAAACGGCTGGGCTAAGTAGAAGACGACGCTTTAGGCATTGGGTTATCGGCTCATCCACTTCGTTCATCGCTCTGGACCTTGGGTTAATATCTTATCCTGTTCGCTCGTCACTGAACTCTTGCCTTTTCACTATGTAAATAAGTGTGCAGAAAGTGTCAGTAAACCTGCTTGTTTTCGTTATCCCAAATTGTGGAAATCAGTTCCTTAACCCCGAGACTCTGTCAAGCTACCAAACGGAGTTCGGGAATGACGCAACCATAATGTCTCATTAACTGTCGCTAGTAGTGAGGCAGAGATAACCCTTTTACGCAACAACAGGCCTTTAGCATTTCACCTCCACCATAATACGATCGCCGCAGTCAAGATCAAACTCGTGACCTACAGGTCAGCAGCCAAGCACCGCAGCTGCTACACCACCACGGCACACAGCATACTGAAGGGTAACAGTTAACATCACAGATAGTGACAAGGACGAAGAGAGGCAGACAGTGGACAAGCGTAGCACTTCATCTCTGTTTGTCTACTGTGCATCTGCTTTCGCTGACATCAATATCGGTAGTGTTACCCTGAATATTCAGCAGTGATGAAGATGGATCTGCCTAAACTTCTTACCTTGAGTAGCTTCTGCAGTTTTCTCAACTTTAATTTTCGTTGGACAGCTGGAATGCCATATTTCTGCACAAAAAAAAAGATAGGATTACTTTTGTGTTGTGGGAGAAACTACAATTACAAAGAAATATGAACTAATTGATAATCATTAAAAGCACTTGGCTTCATTTAGTAAATATAAAGAAAGATTTCTAGGCTTGTGCAAATATTCAAACGAATAGTAGATGATTCAAATTCACTTCCATTCAATTTTAAATTATGAAATATTTCAAAGTATTCAATATGAACGAATAGGTCTATATTAATCCACATGTGAACACCTGTAAAAGTGGTTTTACTGCAATATAGCAATGTTAAGCCGTGAAACCATATTTCGAATTTAAAGGAACCCTGCAACAATTTTTGAGCATGGTCAGCCAACGCTGCTGATCGGTAGTCAAGGCCACCGAGAACACGTGAGCTAATCATTATAGCACAGCACGCGGCCTGGAATTCACAATAAATTCTCAAAGTCACATAATATTGCTCTCTTCTTTTGGCAAATAACATCACAATGTCAAAAATCGCTCGTCACAGCCATTGTACCAGCCATTGGGTGATTTGAGCATGGGGCGCTCGGTCGTTACTGGGATTGCCGTGGGTGCCCACGACTTGGCCACGCGTAAATGCGCAATCGCACTGAAAAGCCGCGCATTCAAATACAAAGAGAAAGAATGCTCAAGGTCACCACACGCACGTAACGTATTTTCTTTCCATATGCCATCTCCCTCAACTTTGCTTCAAGCACTTTCGTCGGCACAAGAAAAGAGAATGCAATTGCAACACGTGGAAAATCGCAAAACTCCGCTCATACTGGGCAGATTTTAAAAGCTTTTGCGGCCGTTAATTCGTGAGACAATAAGCTTATTTCGTGAACCTATTCCATGGGTACTTGAAAAGCAGCTGAAAAACCCTTTAAATGAACATATGATCCTCAAATCGATTAATTCATTTTTTAAAGCTGAAAAGCTTGTTTTTCAAACTTATACACTCTAACTGTATTGAATAATGTTATGTATTTTACAGGTTATCACTTGCATCCTACTGAAAGTCGAATCCTGCTACTTTTCAAAGTAGTTTGGACTTACTTTGACTGAAAAAAAAAAGAAAGCACTTGCATAAAGGCCTTACTTCAATAAAAAAAATGTGCAGGTTAGTTAGGTCATAATAAATATGCCCATTTTTCTTTACACGTCATATATGCTATTCAAATTCCATCCGAAATTATTTAACCAAAATTACTATTTGCTTCGAACCTGAAATTCACTATTCGTACAAGCCTAAATATTTCAAATATTAGACACCGAATACCTCACTGACTTTTAAATCTATTCAAGATTTTTGCATCTTGATGTCTAATGACTACCTAAGTCGGCAAAGTTTGAAAAGGATTTCACATTTCTGAATCTATAAATTTATTATGCCAATTAACATTAATTTAATCATTTGTAACTTGTTAGGACTGTATTTCATTATGCACTCCCCGACCAACCCCAAATAAATCAACACAGTTCATATAAAGGTAATAGACAATGAAAACCACGAAAAGCACATGGCAACTGAAGTTATGAAAGCGATAAAGCAAGAAAAGACATAAATGTATGAAAGAAAAGCTACAGACTGCAAGTGAGGAACAAAATCAACTTTAGTAGGGGACGTGCAAATACAGAAACTTTTGATCACAAATTGAACATGAATGGGGCAGGAAACTGTCTTCAAATATTGAATTTTACATTTATGATGTGATCGCAATCCTTGTCAACCTATCTTATGTCCATTGCAGAGTAAATTGAAGGTATCTTCTGTTAATCAACAACACACCTTCTGTAGTACAAGATGATATCATTTTTTACTGCAAGTTTCTTAATTTGCCACAATTAGTGACAGTTAACCACAGCATTAATTATGACAATACAATAAAGTATCTATGATTGACTTCCAGCGTTATAATACAAAAAGTTACTAGTACAAGCATAAAAGTCACTACACTCAATGACAACTTTTCTTGGCACCTAAAGGGAAAGTTGTGGAGGCGGGGCTTTTGCACATGTAGCACTAGGCGAAGTAGTTTGTTTTGGCGCACATCTCGTAACACTATGAAAAGTGACAGGGGCGCAGCCAGTGTTTTATGTAGATGCAAATGCCGCCTAGTTTTTGAGGAGCATGTAAAAAGGCGGGACTTCATCGCGCCTTGAAAAATGCGAAACCACAACGAATAAATTAAAGTAGAAATGACTATCTTAATGGTGGGAGCTGCATCCTGCCTCAAATAGCTCCACACAAAAATAAAGGGGGAACTTCTATATTTCACGGTGAAAATACGGGCGCTGTTGTGGAACTACATTCACTGGCGGTAGGATGCCCGTAATTTGGCTCTGTAGTCTTCGCTCCAATGCCAAGAAAAGTTGTCGCCGAGTACAATAGTAATACTGTGACTGTGGGGGTTCTCAACATATTTAGTTCTGTGAAGGAACACTTCTGCGAACGCAGATAATAAGAGGCTAGAATGAAAAAAATACTAAAATTTTGTTTAAGTAGAAATATATGAACTGCAACACAAAGGTAACAAATAAGAAAAAAGCCCATGACAACGGGCCTTGCAGTATATGATTAAAAGGCCATTTTCAAAGGTTTCTGCTACATTATTTTAAATAGTGCGCATTATTTGAACTACATCTATAAAGCCAAGGTATCAGGTATACTATGCAAAGTATGATGCCCCTAAGACTTATGTTTGTGCAGAAAGCTCAACATAAATTTGTACTTCCTGTTTTGGAACCCTAGAATGGTGTTTTGACAGTAGATAGTTCAATAAACAAATAACAGATTAATTAATACAATTGGGTTTTGCCACAAAAACATTTAGCTCACTCGGTATGAATGCTCTCTTTCTGGTAACAGGTAAATCCCCCCATAATATTAAAGAATCTCTATAAACATTCTTCACAGGTAGTTATACCCTAATACTCAATGATGTATGACACAAACAGTTACAGCAGCCATGGCAGTAAAAAGCAAAATGGAGAAAATTATCAAGCACCAATTTGGCTCTTCACATTTCAGACCCTTTTCCCCACTAACTTCTATGTAGATATATTGGGGTGCCCAGACAGAATATTTGAATCACAATTTTGGTAGAAGAAATGAATTCACGGTACACTACTTCCTTTATGTTGGAATTCTCATCACTCGCTTCACGTCGCCAGCTGGTGTTCCTGGATTGTTATATATTTAAAAGTCTACAATAACTCTGTGCTTTCATTGTCTCTACATAATGACATACAACCAAACACTGCTTAAAACTTTTGAACAAAAGTCCTATTGGAGGAGGACCATGCTCTTCAAATTGAGGCAAGCTTCATCCTAGCTCGATTTTCTGCAGTAGTATGCCTTGATACCTTGTGGCAAGTATTCGATGGAAACATACGTCACTGGAAGACCTGCAAAGATACAAACAATATGCATCAATAAAATTGGGTGGTTCATTAGCTTATCAAACATAACACGAAAAAACAAAGGGTTCCATTGCAGCACAGATTATGCATTCACAAGAGCTATAAAAAATGTGTTGTTTATAATTTACTGGCTCATTCATAGTATTTTTTTAAATGCAAACAAGTGTGTCGAACCACTGCTGAACCTCTCCCAAGTGTTGCACTCAATGCCTTGAGTGTTTTTTATTGCAGACACAGCTAGTATATTACATAAACATCCCAAATATTTATGTTTCCTAATGAAAAATTTGAGAATACTTGAATGGCAATTTTCATTTAACAATAGTCAGACCATTAGGTTCTTCTGGCAGTTGTTTGCACAGTCATACTTTCTGTTCACAGCACTTACCTTCAGCTTCAGTGGTGCACACCTGTATATTTTGTCAGTGCCGAGCTTATGCTTGGTTCTCTCAGTTTGCAAAGCACTTCTATCAGCCTTTACTTAATTTTCAGAAAGTATGAAAACGAAAATTTCTGAGGCGCTTACATAGGCGGCGGCAATGCATGCAAAGCAGCACAAGCGCTGCCAATCGCACTGTCTTTGTCATGCTCTGCTTATTCTCACAGTATTCAGCCTTTACTGTGCTCAACATTCACTTTTATCCAAACTTGTGCCAACTGTTATCTTGCTTACACTGACTATGACAACGTGAAAAGAATGAAACAATGTTCAAATGCTGTGCTGTAGGGCATTATTTGCAGCAGCCTTGGAGACTCTCACAACATCATGAACAGAGGTTTGAGTGAACACGTTCTTATCCTGCACTAACCTTCGTTTCCATGTGGCACAAAGAAGTGAAATGATTTCTGCTGTAATTACTGACATGATTAAGTATGTTCCAACCAGCAAAACACTATTTGTGGTATGTCAGCACAGCAGGCACACATTATAGCGACTATATCCCATTTACTGTGTGCCGTGCTTTTTTTAGTAAATTAAATGACACTTCATTCCTTACAAATGCTGTTTGCCACAGGCAATGTCAGTAAACAAATGATTTTATTTTGTCATAAACATGTTTGCTGTAATAATATAAGAGACTAAGTTGCTGAATTTTCTTTTGATTTTTGAGGTGAATGATACGAAATTTAGATGCCCGATTCATCTCTTCAATATGAGCAATGGTTTCATTTAGCTCTAATTTCAATTTAGTCAGAGCTTTTAGATGGTTTTCATATCATATAAGTATAAATCCTCTTTCCATTTGGTTGTAAAATGGAATTATTGTTGACTGATACTTGCTAGTGTGTTTGATCACAGATGGGACACCCTGCAGGCCAATTTGTCTTTTGTCCAGTTTTGAGATGCACCTGCATTCTTACACATTGAATAAACTTCTCAGGAACACACTAATATCATTATGTTTCAACAGAAAAGAGTAGTAGCTTTCCAGAATCAATACATTGGCAACCATTATACCTAGGACCTCACAGCAATTAATGCTGTTCCATCACTGAAAAAAACTCATACTAAATTTTTGTAATGCTTGATAATCTTGAACTTTCATTACAGACAGACCAATGAAAAATGCTGTTGCAGTATTAGTAAAATGGCTGATCTTCCTCATGATCCAACAAAATGGCCAAAGTGTTTGCATGAAAAGCAATTTCTTTGTTCCCCTGTGATATTTACCTAAACAAGGGCCCTTCAACTAGAACTTGTCCTTGACTATTAAGACATGTGCAATGTTGAGAGCTGGACTGGACGATGTTCACTGCAGAAGAAAAAGAAACACCAGGCCTGCGCAAAACGCGCAGCACAGTTACAGCTGAAGCTGGAAGAGGGGCCTTTCAGAGCCTTTTCTAAGCACTCTTTGGGTGACTTCTACAAGCACACTTGCTGGGTACCCACTATGCCATAAATAGTTATATTTTCGTGTAGTAGGCTGGCATTCACTATGCTATCCTTCATCATTCTTTGGAGAAGCCTGGTATTCGCTTCACACTGTTAGTCTTTTTGTGCAATTTTTTTATGTTGTGGCTGAAGAAGATGAATTATGTGTGACGTGGGTACGTGCCACAGTTAATAGGGGATCAAGAACAAGTTTTCTAATAAGTTGCAGCATCGAACTACCTGCTCGTTATGTAATTCACATTGTGTGATGCCTGGTTGTTCCTTTGATGTTCCAAAACGCTATATTACTCCTAATAATGCAATTTTTTTCCCGTCATAAAGTCTGCTCGATGCCAGTTTAGAAACGAGTTCGAAGCACTGGCGTGGCTCAGTAGTAGAATACTGGTCTGGCATGCAGTGGACCCTGAATCGAATCCTACTGTGTCATTATTGTTCTTCATTTACAGAGTTTTTTGAATCCCATTGTATCATTAATATTTTTCAATTTTAGAGTTTTTTTGCTTATTTATTGCGATACTGGTTATGTAAACCGGCGATGGAGGACAACTACGATGCCGCGCATGACCCGTGTTCTGATCTCATAACAGCTTTCGTTGTAAAACGTGAGTGGTGAAATTTTCTTTAGTCACAAAGCCAATAACATCCCCTTTTCATTGAAGTGAATGTAAAGAAGCCTAGCCACTCATGCAACATTCACTTGTGCCACCTCACACTAGCATAGCATGTAAGAACGCTGATTGATAC